CTGGCCCTCAAGCTCCAAAGCCCCGTATACCAGCTGAGAATTTGCTTGTTTCTCCTTTTCTTGAAAGAGATGATTTTTTCCCTGCAGAATTATCTGCAGAAATGTTTTAACTGAGTATTAAGTATTTCAACTAAAAGCTATCTTTGTTTTAATGTTGATATCAAAACATTCTACTATGGAGCTGCTAAGTGACACCCATCAGATGAAAACTGATCCATATGGATGGAAATGGTAGCTAGCACTTCTTAGAGCAAGTACTGTACGCTTGCTTTCTTCAGCTAACGGGATGGTGAGACAAAATGAGTGCAAGGGAATTTCAGCCAGTTCAGCCAGTTTCTCTGCAGTAGGCAACTAGAGCTGCTAAAGCTGAAGGAATAGGGCCAGAGCTATGTTGTGTGGCTGGTGTACGCAGGAGAGGTAGAAAGACCAAAGCTGGAGACATTTCCATTAAGGAAACTTGGGAGGCCTAATCTTGCAGTTTTGCAGCTGGGAAAAAAGAGAAGAACAGTCTTTGTCAGTTAGTTGTTGCTTCACCACAGCACTTTCCCTCAGCAGGCGAGAAAGCAATTGTTGATGAAAAGGTAAGGTGTGGGTTCGTGACGCCAAGCCAGGTGCATGTTTTGCCTATTTCTATGCCTACTTCTGACCAGTGTCTGGGCTGTTCTGCATGGGTGAGGGAGGGAAGGTGGGTCAGGGATTAAGGAGCTGATACACTCCATGAAAGGAAGGATATAAGCACTCCACCTTCACATCTGCAGGTAGTCAGGTAGGGTTGGTTGAAACCTTAACTTGTCTGAGCATTTGTAAGGGAAAAGAGTAAGAATGAGTTCTTGGAGCTTATTAAATTAATTATGTTAATAATGTTTTCTTTCATCTCTCAAGCAGCACAGGGCAGATTTTGCTGAAAGGTTGTAAAGGCCTAACTTGCCTATATTTATTCACATTGCATAGTATCTTAGCCTGATTCATTCCAATAGACTTGCTTACAAATCTAGTTTCTATTCAATTGTGACAGAAAAAATGGAATTCAATTTATACAGTTGAAATAATAAAGTAAATGTTGCTTTAGAATTAACAGTGGAGTCTTGTCTGCTGCAAAGATGTTAGAAGAAGGTAAAATAGTCCATAGTTAATGTTTCCATACTTATCTTGCCTGCTATACAATGTGGTCCATTCTGTCATTTTTCACTGGTAAATTATTTCTGCTTTGTATTTCAGAAATTAGTAGTGAGAGAAAGCTGTAAAATATGAAGCTTGAAAACTTGACATCTCAGTATGCTCTGAGAAGAAGCACTAAAACGGCCACTGGTTTGCCAGCTATTAAGGCACAACTGCAGATTTCCATTAACACATTGAACTGGTTCCGCTACAGCAGATAAAAGTCCCCTTCAAAAGAAGAAAGAAAAGATTCAGAGTAGGTCATTGCCTAAACACAGGGACTAAATTAACTAGAACAAAAAAAAATCACAGCTTCTTCTAGAAAGCTTACTACTCTGCATCACATACTTCATTCATACCGGATGGGTCTTAGTGCCAAATATTTCTTGGTTTCTTGCTGTTTTCTGTGTTGTTTTTCAGAGGTATATATTCTTGCACAAATGATCAGCCTGTAAAGAGGAAATTACTTCTTTTGCCACAGGTGTAGAGAGCAACAAATGAAAGAGAAGTAATTTAGGAGTTGGATTGTATGCAAATTTTCACTTGTTCAATTCTTTAACTTTATAATACTTGATTTTTCGAGTTTTTTAACCCTGCACAAACAATAACAATGGTATGATCAAAAAAAGATTCAGATCAGTTTAGGGGAAGGGAAAAAAAAAAGTCTTCACGCAAATCTTTGAGATTTTAACTCACTACCTTTCAGATAAACCCTTGGGTACAGATTGGGCCTTCACGTCTGCATTCTGGATGGCTCCGGCTCCCTGCTCCGAGTGCACGACAGTGGCCAGCTGTTACTGGGCACGTGCCAGGGCTGCAGTGGCACCTATGGAGCAGCTCTGCTGCCGTTGTGCATCACAAGTGCCTGTCCTTCTCCTCCCTGCTCTGTACAGTCCCACCTGGTTTCCTCAGCTTGGTGTGGTGGTGGAGCTGAGCCTTGATGGCGATGCGATCTCCGCATTGGACCAGTATACAGCACAAGTTACGGCTTACGGACACGAGCCTTGTAGCAGCTCAGAAACAGCAGGTGCCATTTGGCAACGTGAGTCTCCGTGCGGCAGCAGGCTGGGAGATAAGTACCCTGAAGAAGCTTGGTCAGTTAGCCAGTGTCCTGGTTTTGGCTGGGATAGGGTTAAATTTCTTCCTAGTGCTGTGTTTTGGATTTAGTACAAGGAGAATGTTGATAACACACTGATGTTTTCAGTTGTTGCTAAGTGCCCTCCTAGTCCAAGGACAGCTCCCATGCCTACTGACTGAGCTAGGTACACAAGATGGGAGGGAACGTAATCAGGACAGCCAGCCCAGCTGGCCAATGGGGTATTCCATACCATGTGACGTCATGCTCAGTATATGAATGGTAGGCGTGATCCAGGAAGTACGGATCGCTACCTGGTTATCGGTCAGCTCGGGTGGTGAGCAATTGCATTGTGCATCACTCATTTTGTATATTCTATCATTATCATTATTATTTTCCCTTTTCTGTTCTATTAAGCTGTCTTTATCTCAACCCATGAGTTTTTCTCACTCTTACTCTTCCCACTGTGGGATGGGGAGGAGTGAGTGAGCGGCTGCGTGGTATTTGGCTGCCTGCCAGGTTAAACCAGGACAGCCAGCAAGGACCCATTTGTCCTGCTGGAGAGGTCAACTGATTCAGGTTTTGGGAGAGTCACAGAAGAGCAGAGACTGTGCCTAGGAACAGAGAGTGAGGGGGGCACTTCAGCCACCTGAGAAACACACGGGGCGGATGCGTGTGTTACGGATGGAAAGCTAGCTATTTTCCCATGAAAGGGCGGTGCAGCACAGGAATGGAGATCGGTAGTGGCCAGCCCTCTCGTCTCAGTGGATTGAATATTCCTGCATGACTGAAATCGTGACGGGGATATTTTGATACCTGAATTTGCTCATAACTTACTACTTGGCGTCAAGGAGGAGTATGTGCACAGAACGAAAGGCATCATGAGTTTATTTCTAAAAATGTCTGGGAAATAAAAAGAGCAAGACAATGGACAAAGGACTCCCCATAAATCTGCATATACATCTTGAATTAATGCTTTGAATCCAATCTTTAGTTACAGGGAAAGGTGTGGTCCCTTTTCCTTACAAATGATTAGTGTCCTACATAATTCAGTGCTAGCCTTTGGATGTTTGTACTGTTATGTACATATGTGTATTCTGGCAATAAGGCATTGTCACTCACCCAGTGGTGAGGATCAAAATGTTGATCAGCTCCTTCTTCAGTGTGCACTCTATCCTGTCGATGAGACAGAGCTCCTAGGGAAAGTAAAAAGGTGACAATCATATTAAGGAAATTTGAATTGCAGCATTATAGATGAAGGGAATGAGCTGTGATTTCACATGCAGCTTTCATTCTTGCACTTCCCACTTTCGAGCATTTAGAGTTATGACTTTGTAACTTTGGTAATAGGGGTATTTTTTCTTTTTGTTCCAAGAAGTCTTACAAAGAAACCCATTATTTTGTATGCATCTCTAACAAAGGGTCTGCCCCTTGATTCTTCAGCACCATTGCCCAGCTAGGACTATGGCTCTTCCTACATTCATTGATAGCAAGGCTCTTAACCTATATGAATAAAGGGAAAGGAATCGGGACATACACAGTGTTGTCAGGACATTATCAGAGAAAGTCCAAATAGGTGCTTTCTTCCTGATCTCAGAGCCTGGCTTTTTCCATGGATATCTGTGGCACAAGCTTGTCCTTACATTATTCTTGTTCCTGTATTATTTTGGCAGATTAACTACTGATAAACAAGTGACTTTTTGTAAGTTTGTCTGCCAAGCCTAAGTAAGACAGAGACCACAAAGACACTTCTCTTACTGACAGTCCTTCTCCCAGAAGAACTTCCATAAGGTATCATAAAGAAAAGGTTTCAGAGATTTTTTTTTTGAGAAAGATTACAAGAATCATAGGAAACAGTAGAAAACTAAACATAGTTTATCCCTACTGCCCCTATAATTTAGCTTTCCACAATAAAAAAGATCCCCAAAATAAGAATTACTTTCAGATTTAGCTAAAAGTCATGAGGTGATCCTGTTTTTACATTCCGATGTTCACGCAGCTTTGACACAGTCTGCTTATTCTCTGCAAATTCTTGAAACTATGCTCTGTGCAAATATAGAGAAGTCTTCAGTCAGTTCTTGTGCTGTGTGCAGTCTGCTATGGGAAGTATGCTACTCGTCATTAAATATGAAAATGAAGCAACACTAAAGCAAGAAGAATTAACTTTATTGTATCTTTTAGGCTTTTTTGTTCACTTCTATGTTTGTTCTTTGTGTATAGAAAAACACTGGCTTAAAAAGCTTAAGTACAGCTTAAGTTATAGGATGATGTTGCTGTTTCCCAGTGACAAATTACAATTTTTTTTTTTTTAAGGTAAAACAGGATAAAACCTGTTCAAAGGTAAAGCCAAAGGGTTATTTACATGAATTGTGTATCTGGGTTTGCTTAAGAGTGGGAGTAAATACAAGATTTTCAAATGCAAAACTGACATGGTGCAATAAAATACTGTCCTTGCCAAATTTTCAGTAAAATGATAAAATTTGTTGATTTCTAAACAATCTAGATAATGCCCGGAAGTTCTTGTTACTTTGGTTTCCTTTGGTAATTCTTTCTTAGTTAGCAAAATAAACTCTCCTACTTTTCTTCTCCAATGATAAATTTCCATGCTGAAAAAAATTGATTTTTTTTTAAGAGATGGTTAGCTTATTTCCTTATATTTAGGACCCTTCTCCTGTCCCTAAATAAACATACTGGAGTTCAGTTGCAGCTGATAAGTGAGTTTGTTCATTCCACATCTTGCATATGTTGAATAAGCTCTAGAGACTAATCTCACTAGTTGAAGATGATGATAATTATTTTTCCTTCTTAGGAAAAAGGAATGTGTCTTTCTCAGCCAAAGAACTGGAAGGAATAAACATTATTTCGTCATTTGGGTTTTGATTCTTTCCACAGACATAACTCTGAAGGGCAAGGGAAAACCGGTGTGAATGCAGTGGATCTAGTGCTGTCTGAAAGCATCACGGGGCTTCTTTATTGTGTCTGGATAGTATTGTGATATCTGCTGATATCTGGAGTTTCTGTTGGCTGTGTTAAGGGATGTGAGGGGTGTGGCCGCCTCCTCCAGTCCCAGGAGTCCCTCCTGCCTGGCTGCTGGTGCCCATCCCGCTACCCAGGGCCCCGCTCTGAGCTGAGGGATGTGGCTGCCGCTTTCTCCTTTGCTGGTTCAACCAGTAGCAAAGCTGAGCAGGTGTCCCAGTGCCGCACAGACAGGACACTGACACGCCATCACGCAGACTGCCGCAGGCAAGGCGCTGCCTTCAGCAGCGCCCACGCGCAGGACCCACGTAAGCATGGACAGCCAAGTCCCCTCCTCGGCGGCTGGCAGAGATAGGTCACTAGGGAAGGCACGCGTCCCGACACCCCCTCCCCCCCATGTCCCCCCTCCCGTTTTACATGTGAGCAGCCCCTTTTATACCCCTTTCTGCCCATTCCCCCTTTGTTCCTCCCCATTCCCTAACCTTGCGTGGTCCCCCATCAGATTGCGTGGTCCCACCAACCCCCCCGATGTCCTGGGTCCCCAGGTGTGCATCCTTACCCAGTTGCAAAGTTCTGTTTGCCTGCAGTTTTTTGATAGCCTACCAATTAGTGTGTCTGACAAGGTGGGTTTTTTCCTTGTCTTTTTCTCCATTATGTTCTTCTGTCAGGTTTGTGTCTGTATATTTTGTTCCTTTTCTTACTATTCCTTTTTGTACTGAAAAAAGTCATTGACCGGATACCCTTAAAGGTGCAGACACTGTCCTTCCACACACCCTTACAGGTTGCGTTTAGTCACATTATAGGAAAGAGTAGCTATGAGGTCCTTGTGAATACTCCCTCTCAAGGTTAGATAGCAGAATCAAGAAACTGCTAGCTTCTTCTTGCCACTAAAATTGAGTATTTTAAATTTTTTTTTTTTTCTGATCAGATAACTTTGATTACCAAATAGAAGTGGAGTTGCTCCATTAGTGTGAAATAGTTAAGAAAATACCATTCAAACAGATTCTGGCTATAACAGAGGGGCCTGATGGTACAGTCATTAAAGTAGAGAACATTTTTCTAGAAGTTAGCGGGAGTCTTCAGTGTCTTGGAGAGTTTCACAGGCCTTGGGAAGAAAGCCACAGATTCCTATGAACTGTATGATATTTGCAATTTAAATTAAAGCTGAGGTTTTCAGCAGTGTCAATGTATCACTATGAGTCCTTTCAGACAGGGGAACAAGAAAAGAACCTACTGTCCTTCTCCATCACTGTATGCGTGCTGTGATAGATTTTTTTTTTTTTTTGCAGTTGTGATATTCATTACTATAAACACTCTCATATTTATATTTTTCAGGTCAAAAGGTGTGCTATGGTGACTTCAAGCGCTCGTGTTACAAGTTAGCTTATTTCCAGGACTTGTCTAGACGCGTGGGCTTTCAGGAGGCCCGCCAAGCTTGTGAAATTGATGGTGGGGCTTTACTGAGCTTGGAAAGCGAAGCTGAGCAGCAACTAATAGAAAACATGTTGCAAAACCTTACTAAATCGGGCTCCGGGATTTCTGATGGTGATTTCTGGATTGGGTTATGGAGAAGTGGCGATGGACTAGCCACCTCAAGTGCTTGCCCTGACCTCTACCAGTGGGCTGATGGAAGTATTTCACCATTCAGGTAAGTCTGTAAAACTGCTTATTGAGAGGGTTTCATGGAAAGAAATGGAGAATGAAATGCCTGCCAAGTCAAGTCTTCTGTAAAGAAGCTTGAAGACTTGCTGCCCCGTGAAGTTAGTAGCATCCCTCCTTAACTTCTCCAGATAAAGGGGAGCTGGCAACCAGGGTTTGAATTTGAAGCTGTAAGAGGATGGCATAGTGTGGCTTCAGCCTACAGTTTTCTTTGCTCCCATGTCATGAATTTTCCTCTGTATGGATTTTGGAGTTTTTTCTGCCCCACGTAGAGGATTTAGGATATGGTCTGAAAGCAGGCAGACAATTCTGCAAGACTCTGGCCACCTCGAATCAGGGAGCCGGCCAGCAAGTAAATTAATGCAAGTTACTTAGTGTAAATTGTTCTGTTTCTACCCTGACTTTTGAAAAGCCTTTAATTTCCTGATGAAGCCAAAAGCCAGAGTAGCAGCAGCTCACAGGACTCAGGACAATGGGGCAGGTAAGAGTCAGAAAGAAAGGAAAACAGAGCAATATAGTGTTATTTCTGCAGAGGTGCTTCGAGAGGTCAGATTTTTTTTGAAGATCCAGAGGTGTGTAGCCCCTAAACTCCTTTCATAGAGGAGTTGTGGGAAATGCAGCATATCTTTGAAGAGGATGGGGCCATTGGCGCTGACATGCTTTCACTGATGTAAACTCCTTTCCTTGGCATCCTGATGAACCTTACCTTCAAAATTTGAAAGTTTTCTTTGTGTACCACTAGAAATTGGTATACAGATGAGCCTTCCTGTGGAAGTGAAGCCTGTGTTGTGATGTATCATCAGCCAACTGCAAACCCTGGTCTGGGAGGGCCATACCTTTATCAATGGAATGATGATAGATGCAACATGAAGCACAATTTTATCTGCAAGTATGGCCCAGGTAGGTGAAACTAAAGTTATATTTCACAGGTGGGATGCTTTCTTAGAGAAACAATTGCCTCTTCTTTTTTGAGGGAATCTACAAATGTCTTGTGGCCACACTCTTAGACCTGCCTGTGGTGCTGATTAGTTTGGTGTGTGAGTGGCTGAGCAGACATTAACAAAGGATGTAATATATCAAATCTAGTGATAATTTAAGTAAACCTATCTGTAACCAATAAGAATGTTTTCAAGGTTAGCTTCACTATCATGCATTCCCAGGTTTACTTTGATTTAATTCATTCACTAGTTATTTTCTTCTCCACAAAGTATTTTAAGTGGCCATTTTCTACTTCCGTTGCTTGCTATCAAGTAGGATGATCAAGATATCTCCTACTGTAAAAAAATTACACTGTCCTTCTTGTAGTTGCAGACCTCTGACATTTTATACCAACTTACTTGTGATGGTCGTTTCTAAAAATTTTGGCCTAAAGAAAGAAAATAGAAGTCCAGAACAACAGGAATAAAATTCTGCATTCATGCATGTAGGTTTGTAGATATGAAAAGCACATGCACACTAGTTCAGATGGTGACAGAAAAAGCCACATCTTAGGCAATTTGGCTGTACTTCCAGACATGACATAGGTTCTGTGTATGTCAGTAGAGGAGACATTAACTATACACTAGAACTTTGTGCAAACAGAAAAAGGACGTGAAAAGTAAACTTTCAAGTTGAACCTGTAACAGTTTCTACTTTTGGTGGTACTTACAGTAAATGAAAACATGTTTTTAGCAGGATCATGCAAATATTTTCAAATAATTTATGGTATGTCTGCTTTTCAAAAACTAATCTGAAAGTCAGAATGCATATGAAATCCAACCCTTAGGAGCTATTTGACCTACCTAATTCTGCAGTTTCCTACCTGCTTTCTCTATGCTCATGATCTAGCAATAATCACACTCTTTGTAGAGATCTATCTCTCTGTAGAGATCCAGGCTGTTTTCTTCCTCCAGTTTTGGTGGATAGATAGCTTTCTTACTGTCTAGTATCTTAATGGGGATATTAATGGCAATTAATATTGCAAGCAAATATTAAATACTTGGAAGGCTTGATATACCCACACATTTCACCCCCACTCCTCAAATCTCTTCCTGCTTCTGAAATTATTAGTGACTATCACTGTCTTATGGTGATCAGTTCTCATCTTGGTCACATAGGCCATTCAAGGAACTGTAACATACACAATTTTATTACTTTTACAACTGATCACAATTATTTTGAAATAAGAAAACACAATAAAATGTTTTAAGTTGTTAAAATAGCAACATTTTTATGTCAGAAAATGTAGGTTTGACTGAAAAGGCTCAGTTTCAAGTATATTTCATACCTTTAAAAGCAAACAAATTTAAGTGAAATAATTATTCTGTAACAGTGAACGACTACAATTCTAGTTGTGATGATAAAGAATTGTTTTTTCCTATTGCTTTCACTATCTGAAAAAATGCCAAGTATTTGGATTGGCAAAGTGATAACAGTAATAGTGAAAATGTATGTATATTTCTTTCACTATGTAGAAATAGATTACTAGTGTATAATGAGGCATAGAATAAGGCAAACAATATATAGGTAGATTATTATTAGGACTGAATTGTTATGCAGCTAAATACAGTACTGCTGAATTGTAGCTATTTACTTTTCAGGCTGTTGGAATTGTGCTCTTTAGCAAAGCAGACTATTCTCCAGAAATGTATTTTTCTATTGCATGGAGAAGAAGAGTAGATGCATAAATGTATATAAATAAGTATATGACATTTCTTTCACTGCCTGAAGAAAGTACAACAGTGTTTGTAAGAAAATTACATTTGCTATCTAAAAGCTAGTGAGACTTACAAATGACGATTCTCCCCCCTGCAAATCACTGTAATAGCTTCAACGTCAGCCATTTGCAATACAAAATACATCCATTTTACCAGGATTATTGAAGTACCACATGCATATTGAATTTCACTTTGTTACCCGAGTACATTGTTTTTCACAACTTTCCTGCCTGTTTTGAGTGTATGGTGTATGATACCAGTCATAGGCCAAAACGCAGAGGTTGTAGGTGACTATGATGAAGCTGCATCTGATTGTATCAGCGGCAAGTTTAGGGCAGCGCTTATTAGGCAGTCTTACTCAAGCAGCAACTACATTTCTGGTAGTCACTTCCATTTTTCTAAGCCCTTTTTATAGTACCTCCCTTGACAGCATTTACTGTTGCAATGTTCAGTCTGGCTTTAGATCATATTGATCATTCAGTGATCTTAAATTTAATTATAGGTTGGTAATTGCAACCACATTTAGTTCCTGTCCCGCTCCTGTAGGTTTGATTATGCAATCAAATTAAAAATTCATCTCCTCTTCTGCTGTCTAGAGCCAGCAACTCAGTTCTTTGTGGTATTTTGATATCTTTCTCTACATATGGCCAAACATAGCCAGTTTTCACCAGAGTAGATGAAATAATTGCCTTTGTTCTAGTAGGCTTTATTGCTTCTTTGATTTCTCCCAGCATTTTGTCACTAGGAACTGCAGGCTCATAGCACTATTATGTTAATATAATCTTATGATAAAGGAATGGTATTCAAGCAATCATGCAGATTCCACTCCTATGCCCATCCTTTCAATATGAGGTAATTATTTCTGTAGTCTTTGTAAACTCGTAGTTGTAACGATAGCCGTAAGTAAACTTGCAAGCCTCTGCAATGCAGCTCAAAGCCGTGAATTGGTTCTCCAGTTTCTGATGCATTAGAAGAAATACGATACTGTCATTCCTCTTTTGGTAATTGCACTTCCTTGTGTGATGTATTAGGACCCGCTGCCCATGATTTGTATTTTAGGGCTGCCTGTTGCAAAACCAAACTACGTGAAGCTGACATCTAACCTCAAAAACTTGTGCTGCTTTGTTTTGCTTCATAGCCAACGTTCTGTAAGCTTTAGTCTGAAAATGTGAATAAGATTTAAGTATTAATCAAGAACACTTCCTCTTACATTGTTTTAGGATCGTCTGCACAAATGAAACTTTGAATATGTTAGGAGTTTTATTCAGCACAAGAAATTAAGGGATTCAGTGATTTAGCCAGTAACCTAGCAGAAGCCACCATGAATTGGAACTACAATAAACTATAGCCCTTTTCTAAGGAGCAAAAAAGTATGAACTAGAAGTGATTTGACACTAGTTTGCAAATAGTCTTTGGTAAGAAGGTTAAATGCTGAAGAATTAAGCAATTACTGTTTTGGAGAATGTATCTATTTCTGTGATACTGCATGCAAAATAATGAAAATATCTGTTTTATTACACACATTTTTCGTTCTTCAACAATTGATTTCAAATATTGATTTAACAGATAATGTCTTAGAAAAAGAATTAGGAGACAGAGCAGAGCCAGATTACGGTAAGAAATTTTGAAACATTAAATTGAGTCGCAATGGTAAATACGTAAATATAAGGATAGCTTACAAGAACCTCCAAAATTACTCAAGTTTGACAGGCATAGTTTAGAACTGGAACATATGAAAAATGAATCCTTTAGAGAGCAATAGCTACAACTATATGGCTATTGTTCCGAATAGCTCTGCTCATAATTCTTGTTCCAGATGTAATCCCGATTTTGCAATAAAATCCTGTTTACATGTTTATATCCAGCAGTTTAATCGATCCTGAAATGTTCATTTTTCCAATGTAAATTAAGATGTAATTACTATTAATTTATTTAACAACATAACAGCCATATTTTGTACTCACTGTTTTCATAAAGTGTCTGATATCCTTTTCAGGTATTTTTCCAACGGTGCCAGCAGGAAATCCTTATGACACAAGCAAACCAGAAGATCAGTATCATGTTATTGCTACTGAAACAGGTAATGTGTTCATATGAATTTAGGTTCTGGTAAAAATATTAACAGTGACTCAGTTAAATTAATCTTTAACAATTTCCATTATTGACAGTGGGGAGGAAGCAGTCTATTTCCCCAGGAAGTACCCTGAAAAAGTATACTTTTGAATAACATTTCAAGAGTTTTAGTCAGTCCTCTTTGTAACTGTGGAAACAAATTATTTCCGTGTCTCCCCAAACTTTCATCCAAATCTACAGTTCAGCAGTCCTTGAAATCTGCACCGTTGTCTCTGACCCTGGTGAGTCTCTGTCAAGATGCAAGATTTCACCAGTGCTCACCCAGCAGTGGAGCGTCTCCTTCCAGGCCGTGGTAACCAGAGCCTTGGCTCTCTCCATCTCCTCCCAGCCTCTTCCCCAGCATATGTAACAAACATATGGTGCATATGTTATCTTTTATATCTGATGCCCAGGGCTCACCAGAAAGGCACAAATGATTCTGTCCTAACAGACAGGGCATGAATTTTTCAGTTATCTGCAGAATCTGTGCCATAGCTCTCCCAGGTACCCTGTGTTTTAAGGAACACCACGTGCTAAGAGGAGTTAAATGCTTTGCTGAGATTTCTAGCAGAAATGTCTCTTGATATTTTGAAAATGGATACCCACTACCTAGGAGCTTGCTGTAATGCTTCTAGCTATTTTGTTTCGCAATTTATGTCCCGAACGGAGTCCTGCGGTCCATGAAGTGTTGTAGCATGGCTGTAATTCAAGGACTTCTCTGAGGAGCAATTCAGGATCTTACAGGATTACAGTATGGGATTATGGAAAGCTGGCACTCCCTTTCCATGCTTGTTGGCTGGTTTCGAGCCGTTTTCCTGGCTGATGTTCCCATTGTTTGTAACTCCAGAAGAATGGATATACTGATGAACTGTATTTTGAAATCAATAATACTATTTATACAAACCATTCAAAGACTCTGTAACTAAAACTCATAAACAAACCCAATCTGAATATTCACATTTACTCTTGCTAGTGAAAATATGTTCAAAAGAGGACAATGGGTAAGAAAGTCTCCACAATTTGTACGTTAAATGTATACTGTTATAAAACATGGGCATATAGTTACTGAAAAATAGGCAGACCCTTTCTGGAAGTTGTAGACCTCATCCTCTATTCTAGGCGGATAATAGAGTCTCAACTTGTACCATTTCCCACCCCTTTTGCCCAGAGACCCGCAGGGGAGCACCTTTTAGCTCTCTCCTCGTTAGTCAAAGACAGTGTGTCTTTCTCTTTTAAGGAGAATGGGGAGACAAGAGCAGAGTTTGTTCCTCTTGTGGTCCTGCATGGGCGGGAATCCAACATGCAAGGGCAACTGAGCCCTTGGACTGTAAAAATAATAGGCTGTGAAATGTACTTCCTTTACATATTTGAATTTTCAGTTACAAAATTGGAAATCTCACATTGATGCACACAGAAAATGTCAGAATTTAAGTCCTTAAAATAGGTTTTGCACATCGCTGGAGAAGTACTATTTTATTTTTGATATTGCTGAGTCATCTTTTTGGAGCTCTTCCTCTAGAAGGAATGTATAAATGTTCTTTTGTGTAAGTTAATGTATTTCTGATATTTTACTCCAGATTTTTACTCATGTGGTTAAAAGTATTTCAACATGGGAGACAGTAATGAGAACTTTTTGTCTTGTAGGTATAATTCCGAATCTAATTTATGTCGTAATACCCACTATACCACTACTGCTGTTGATACTGGTGGCTTTTGGGACTTGCTGTTTCCAGATGCTTCATAAAAGGTAAAATATACTAATCCAAAATGGTCTTATAATGCAGAATTCATGTTTCCATTGGCAAGCTATTCGTACTGAAAGACTGCTTACATCTGTCCCCATATATGCAAATAAGCATCTTTTCATCTATGAAAATCCGAGTAGTTTACAGCTGAACATTCACCATCAGGCTTTTCCACAATGGACTGAAATAGTTCCAGGTCTCTCAAAGTGTATTGCCACTAGAACTTCACCTGTTTCTGAAGACGACATCTTTGCTGACCATTTGGTAGGCTGAGCTACTGGCAGCACTTTTACTTCACCTCTTCCGCCATGATTACCACCTATACAGCGTCTGGGCTTTGGGGAATAATACGGGGGTCCTCACTGATAGAGGGCGAACTCAAGGACTCACTTCAAAAGTGCAGTTTGTTCCAAGGATAAACCTGAGGGGTCAGCAGCTATTTAATGCTGTTTCAGTGCACATCTTACACGTACACCAGATGAGCCACTGGAGCAGACAAATTGAAAACAAAAAGCAAAAACATGTTTTGAACCACACGCCAGTGCAACTCCTTTGTACATCATGTATCTGTCAAAGAAGATACATGAAGTAAATAGACGTGTGTACATAGATGTAGTATCAAACAGTTGTATTATTATGCAAATAGTATCAAACAGTTGTATTATTATACAAATAGGAAACATTTCAGCCTATGAAACAGGATATGTTTTGATCCATGCTTTAAAATTCTTTGGACTTTTTATCTTTCTCAAAATGTGATATACCAAGATATGATAACTTAATTTTTTTTTTTTCCTGAACTAATCTTTCTGAAAATTTCAAGAATATCTTTCATTCTGTAGGTTTTTTTCAGGAAGCATTCTCAAGTTAATGTAAAAGTTTAAACTGAAATAACTGTTTTATGGATAAATATTATTTTGGTAAAATAACGAGTAATAAATAGATTCACAAGCTGTTATCCCTCTTGAAGAGCAGGAGTACTAGTAAGGAATATGACATCACTGTTTTAGGAAATTAGAAAAAAAAAATTCCTCCTTACTTTTAGTGTATATTTTTTCTTTGTGGTTTTTATTTAGCATTTTCTGCAAATAGCTGAAATACCTTATTTCAAGTGAGAAAATACTCCAAATGTCAAGTGTGCTTATATCTGTATGAGTGAGTGTACACTGATGTTCACAGCACTCCTTAGTGATATGTCTCATTGAAACAAGTGAACATAAAGAAAAGATACTATGAGGTCTGCATCATAAACTAGATTGTGTCTTTATGTTATGCACTTTCCTATAAAGAAAAGGAAAATGTGCACTTTTTGACCTGTCTTATGGCAGGCAAATTCATTGTTGTGAAAGGTTGTATCCACACCTCAGTGCTGGGGCTGTAGAAGGTTGGAAACTCAAAGTAAAGGGAGTAATAAAGGGATCATGTGTATAACAATAGCAATTATATAAGTAATCTAAATCTGGATTATATAAGTAACCTAAATCTGGAATCCTTATCACAATGGACCTGGATTTCTTGGTAAGTGTGACATACGTGTTCATACCTTTTCTGGCAGCTCTTTCTCTCCCTAGAAAAGGTTCAGCTCTCGATTACTCCTGGGAAAACAATGAGAGATTCATGGCCCACTGAAATCAATAGAAATAGTAGTTGACTTCAGTGGGCTTTGATCAGGCCTTTGATGCTATAACAGTTCATCCAGAAGTAATTAATCTGAACTTCTAAGACTTAAAAATTGCATGACACAGATACTGGAAATTCAGCTTGGAAGACTGTACTTTTTCTATTAGCTTGGTTAGTTTGGTAGATTAAATGATACAAAAATCAGGGAGAAAATGAATGTGAATCAAGAGATTTTTTTTTTTCAGAATGTTCATTTTGGGTTGCACCAGAGCTTTTAATTAAAGAAAATAAACCAAATTTTCATTAAAATTCCTTTAAGTCAAAAGAGGATATGCTGGTATCAACAAAAATGAAGTATTTTGTTTTTTATCTGTTGAAACAGAACTTTGTTTTTAAAAAAATGTTTCCCCATCTATTTTCAATTATATTTCCACATATGACCTACCTTGTGAATCATTTTGGTTCATCACAAATATGCAGTTCTTGGGTAAAAAGCAAATCAAAAAAAGAGGCAACCCCTTGAACTGGTCATCTAGACACTGTAGAACTTTAGGGAAAGGATTCTGTCCTGCTGGGGAAGGAGGGATCCCCAACTTTCCAAATGAACCTGACTTCTCATTCTTTTTTAGGCTTCCACAACATGGTGACCTTTCCTCTGAAAGCCACAATCCATGGCCAACCAGGACATGCCTAGCTTGAAAGGTCATGACTAATTTTGCCTGGCGTTGGGCTCTTAAAGGGTAGTAATAAGGCAAAGCAAAACATCTTCCCTGTAGCTAGTAGAAATGATCAGCTCATTCATGCTTAGATGCTCTCCCTTTCATTTCTTCCAGGGAAGCAAGGAGAAACTGCTTCAAAGACCCATCTCCATTATCATCTGAATGCCTTGCAGAAAGTTTAAATTCCAACCTGGTATATTTCTCAGTTTCTATGATTGCATTTGATGGTCAAAACAGCGATATGCTCAAGCTATTTATTGCATCTTCTTTACCTTTCTTACTAAAACGTATTTCCTGAACCAGATGTATAGCTGTTGAAAATCAGCATAAGGTTTGCTGAAGATAAGCTCATTTTATACAGCTGAAGTTCTGATCCAAGGTATTTAGAAATTGTACCTGCTGTGTGGCAAGGACTCTCCATTCAAAGCATTTCATCGTTAATTTACAAAATATGCCTGATTTTGTTGTATTAATCTAGAAGGAAGTAATGAATCAGTTTCTTAAAGAAAGAAGTCCTGAAACTACTTGATTCATTGCAATTGCTTTGTTTATAGCATTGTGGCCTGATCTAAAGTCCACTGAAACCAATGGGAGTCTTTTCAATTACTCCAATGGGCTCAGGTACATAATGCATTACTTTGTAGGACTTCAGAGGTAAGTCTGGAGGGACTAAAACCTACTGTACCGCCCAGCTCCCTCAAAGTACATTTTAAATCAACTCAGACTCACTCACATTTACACACCAGGAAAGGAGTAAAACTGAACGTATAGGACTGTTGGGATTTGACTCTCAGGTTTCCAACTTGCAGAATTATGTAGGGCTACTTCTCCTCCTCTGTTATTACTTAATTGGAAAAAAACATCGGTGTGAAATATTCTGGCCAGAGACTAAAACATTTTTGATTGAAATGCAGCTGCAATGGCTCATGAAGTGCCTTTTCTTTTCAGTAGACTGTAGTGCACCGTCATCTACCATCTAAGTGAGGAAGGGTGGTGTGTTGTGGCAGTCGTAGCAGAGATGCTAGCCATGTGGAAAGATTGGCATCAACTTACAGGGTACCTCAGGGCTCCCTGTAAAGATTGGAGTGAACACTTTTGCAGTGTGGCAGAGCAAGTACTTTTGGAACAGTTTTATTTTTTTAATTAAAAAAACCCCAAACACAAAACTTACTCTTGACAGTTTTGAATGAAAACTGAGCCTAAGGAAGCTTTCTACCAGTCATTCATTGCTAGGAGTCTGATTCATGCACCATTACTTCATTAGAAGTTAGGTCAAGCCCTGAAGGGAGGCGGCTTTCTGGCGTACCGGTACACGCTGGCACCCATTAGTGTACCGTGGTGACGGGGGTGCAGCTCCAGGGCGCGCAGGGTTGCGGGCAGGGTTGCGGTAGCCCCCCGGGGCGGGTGGGTGGCACCCTGAGCACGTTGGACGTGGGCTCGGGGGCGCGTGCGCTCCCGTACCCCGTACGACCCCCCAGACAAGGGAAGCGCCCAGCCTCCCACCACCCTGGTCAAACAGTCTCCACACCCATCTCTGAAAAGACCACTCTGTATGAGTAGCTGTGGTTGAATGTGAACTGGGGAAAAAAAAAAAGAAATACGGGCCAAGTCAGTTCATCTGCGAAGCAGGGTGGTCTGGTGACTTCGGTAGCAGTTGCTTGCCTCGACCCACCGCTGCGGTCCTATGCTTGGTGCAGCGTGGGCATGACCCTTTTGTGGATGGGGAACCTATGCTACGAAAGCAACAAAGATGGCCTTCAAACAGGGGATGAAACACCCAGGTCTGATCACATACCTGAATCAGGACTGCAAAGGCACAAATGCACTGAAAATAGTTTATATTTTTATTTTTCAGTAAAGGAAGAACAAAAACCAGTCCAAACCAGTCCACACTATGGATTTCAAAGACGCCTAGGAAGGACAGTAGCATGGAGGTATAATGACTTACTGACTGAACACAAAGCAAAAATAACATTTTGCAGTCAGGCTGTATTATAATGTCGTCAAAGAACATTAGCTTGGAATGGCTTGAAAATGCAAAGGATCTACAAGAATGAACCGTAAGCTCCCCCTTGAGGCAAATGTTCAGATCATTTTTATATAATGTTTGATTATCAATTCAGTAACAAAATATGCCATGCTAAATAAAGGGTATGTGTTTATTTTGCTAAGAGATGTAAGTTAGCTAGTTGTGAGCAATGAAATGAACAGAGCATTTGAAGTTTTTATGGGGAAATATCTACAATGTATATCAGTTTTAAGCCTGTTTGTAGTTAAACAAACCCTCTGTTTCCTTTAGTCTCTCATGCATTGTAATGTAGTTGATGTACTGTAAATGGAACTGACAGTTTTACAGTGTAACAATTATTTATCTTTGCATAAATGTTTGATACAAAATATTTGTTTAGTATTTATTTGCACTTAACACAGTTTTTGATTCTCAGGCACACAAATTATTTTATTGCATATTAACATGGTCACTAGCAGAGATAGCCACCATGTTGTAACATTGATCTGAGGTGGAAAAATTCAAGGGTTCATAAAAGTCATTTGATGTCATATAATGAATCCACTTTGCCGGGGAATGACCATAACTTTTTGACATATTGGTCCAAGGTCAACATAAATCACTTGGCAACTGATACCTCATTAACGAGGTGTCCTTTGAAGGCAGTCATTAGGTGTTATTTAAGTAAAATATTTTTTACTTTTTCTGAGGAAAAAAATATCACAACGGGCAAGAGTTTAAAATTAAAATTACTAGTTTCAGTAAATCTATGTAAAAATACATTAAAGATCATTTAAATATAGCTAATAGTTTGTTAGGAATAATGTAATGTATGAAAGAGAAGATAAATGGCTTTTCTTGGAAGTGGAACTAACAGATTGATCCCAACATTACTCAGACTATTAGCTAGAAAAGCCTTAATTATGTTAATTGATAGACAGATTTAGAGGTAACCTTGATGCATTTAAAGTCGTCTTTTAGCGTTAATAATTATTAACATCATTAATGTCCGTTCTCTTTGTTTCCTTAAGAGCTTTCTGTGCCATAAGAATGGTTTTACCAGTCATTAGGAGTAGATCTTGGGGTGGTAGCAATAGCACTCTGGCCGATTTGTTGGTGACAGTCTGGTGCTGTAGCAGATAGTTAATGGGTTTTGCTGCAGTTGCAGCGAGTTCAAGAGCACGAATTCAAGCTAGTTGGCTTTCCATTAATACAGATGTATTAATGTACTGCTGGGTGAAAGTTGGGGAGAGCTGGACAGAAGCAAAAGCGTGTTACTCTTTGGGTTGCCTACACTGTGCTAGCTGATGTTGACCACAGCTTCAGACACAAATATGTATCAATTTTTCTGAGTAAAGGAAAAAAAAAAAAACCCACAACATTGAAAGTTCAATACCACTAATACTAATTGTGCAACACTATTGCTGAAGCACTTTTGGAAGCATCTTAAAGTTGCTGTTATGCCACGTTTTTATTTCCTCTTTGAAGAAGCCTTCTTCTGTAGTTCAGGTTAAGCATTGCTATTCCTACTTACAATATTCTGTAGTTTTTCCAGTCAGTCAGAATTTCCTTCTTTGCTCAATCCCTTACTTCAATTTCCTTTGTAGTGATTGTAAATAGAGAGAAAAGACTATGTTCCTGCATGATCACCAAGACCAGAATTGTTTTTCTCCTGACTTACGTATTACTTAACTCAACTGAGGGCGAGAGATTCCTCTTTCTTAGGAACAATTGCAGTAAAAAACTTCTTTATTTTTTTTATGGTCTTGAAGGATTAACTCCCCCAAGAAAACAGGGAAGGAGGGAGAGTGAAGATTTACATAAAACTATTTCTTGATACGTTGTGCTTCTAAAGGACATATAAAGGTGTAGCAATTGATATTCTGATTAATGCGGCAGAAGTGACAGAAGTCATTTCCATGCAGCAATTAGGAGAATGCAAATACCTTCAGATGTTTTTCTTACAGAGTGAGGGTGATTGCTGGGCACTTACCAGTCTTAAACTCTGTGTGAAGGAAGAAGGGAAAGTGGCATGCAATGCTTTTATTATAATGAACTCAGATTCTATATGTAAGTAAGAAATACTGATTATTGGGACAAAATATTTCCATATCATATCACCTGCTTGGGGGAAGGAAATAGTTTCCTTCCACGTATTTCCTTCGCTTAGGATGTTGTTCCTAGATACCAGGTAAAATCTAAACAATCTTAAGAATCCTATGTAGAAGACTGCAAATGGTGCATAGATCAAACTTACAGTCTTATAACTTCCACCTTTAAGTAGATGATTCTATTCCATGCAAAACATACAAATCCCATACATACTCAAATTCTTTCATCTTTATTTCCCTTATTTCCACACACAAAAGGAAGATAGGAGTAACGGTAAAAGAGAAAAGAGGGAAAGATAGGTGTGTTTCACACTTGCAGAGAGAAGACCTAGAAATTAGACTTTATGCTGGTATTTCCTTTGGATTTCGTTGCGGCTTCCAGAAAAACAACAGCACATATTTACGTGACGTGGTCCATTAGTGGCAACAGAATTGCAATTTAAAGAGAAAAACAACAAAAAAAAACCAACAAAAAAATCCCAACCCTCACTGTCCTTCATATTCACGTTAAACTCTACAGAATGGGGAAAGGAAAATGGTTTCCAATTTCAGGTGACGGATTGCATCAACTAGAGCCACTTTGAATAAGCTTGCTGGCTTTTATATACAGCTACGAGGTCCCCTCGCGGTGACCACATTCCCTTCTGCTCACTGCCTCTCTAAATCTCTTCCAAATGGCAGCAGTAGGTGAGGCAAGGAACTGAAAGATGAACAGTAAACCTTAGCTAGTCCTCAGATGGATGGCACGGCTTCAGTTTGGCATTTTAAAAAGATTATCCTCTTCCTCCTCCCCCTATTTTCCCCAGGGAATATAATTTTTCTTTTTTTCCATAGTGATCTTGGCCTTTTGCAAGCAAGAAGCATCTCAGAGAAAAAGGTCTTGTTTCCTTCTTTAATCTTTTAAACTTTTTTGGGTACAAACAAGTGTAAGTCAGCATCAAGCTTCCAGCGCCTATTTCAAAGCATCTTGGAGCTGTTACTCAATTGAAAATAATCCATTCTCTAAATTAGTTGACATAAAATGTTTATTTTTAATTATACTAGTCTAAATTACATATATGTTTCTATACCAGAGTTTATAATAGGAAATTTTTTAGTCTGAGGGGATGGTTTGTTAATGTATACCTCAAAATAAATCTGTGCTTTGCATTTTGGGAAGCAAAAAGTACACATAAATAGAAGTATATTACTGTATTTCTGGGAAGCACATTTTCTAGTAACTGGCTGCTTTGAGTTGGCTTTTGTATTTCATTAACAGACTGAAACACCATTTACAATAGTGATGTGTGGTAAATAATGCAGAAATCATGTCACATTTTAATTGAGCATTTTAATCTAATTGCTTCGTCTGAATCAATTCATACTGATAGCAGAATGCACTTTATTTTCAGTGGCTGTTTTCAAGTGAAGGAGAGTAACAGGAGAAACAGTAGTCCACTATGAAAGATAAGATTTAAAACTTTAACATTTAATGTTAAAAACCGTGTGGTTTATATGAAAGAAGGTGTCTAAAACACCTTTATCTTCTCTCTGGCTTAATTGCAACTCTGTGTTCCTTGTCATCACAGATATGTTGATAAAGCTAAATATTTTGGTCTGGACCTAGTCTTCTAATGCTTATGAAGACCTGAAAACAGTTTGGGACTTGATATTTTTTATCAGTGACCACCAACCTGTGTTTGTAAGCTAGCCTTGTATTTTGAGCACTTCATATCTGCATTTAGTGTTGTAAGCACCACGTGTGGGAGCTCCTTACAAAAATCACACATCTATGTGTATTTGTGTTGATACACATACACAGTAAGTTAGAATGCATTTTGTATTTTCATGCAGTACTTTGGAATTAAAAATATATTAAAATATATTAAAAATATA